TATTTTTAACCCAGTCTTCTGTCCTGGACACCAGACTCTCATATCCAGCTACTAGTTTGGATGTATATTTAATGTTTCAAGTTAACATAGATTAAATGGAATGTTTGACCTCCCCTCCTCCACACATACACACGCCTGCTCTACTTTCATAGTTGCTTATATAAGTTGATGACAACACTGCCCTTCCAAGTCTTCAGCCCAGAATTCATGACATCACCTCTTACACTCAATGTCTGTTCTATTTAACTGTCTGAAAACAAATTCAGAATCAATGCTATTAGAGAAATGGCTAATTCTGGGGTTAGGGTAGGGGAAGCCCAAGAAGAGCCTGGAACTTGTGCTGAAAAGTAAAGAGCTTCCACTGACCAGCTTTCTAAAGAGACTTTCACTGGTCAATCCAGGCCAGTATTAGAATCAAAATGAGTATTGACAAATGGATTATAACTTATTAAATAAAAAAGGAATCTATGAGTGTATACAAAATATAAATAAATAAAGAAGGGGAATCCTTTTTACAGTGGAATGTCAACTAATAATTTATGCAGGTAGGAATCCTCAGGAGTTTTGGATAAATGTTTGATGGATTACAGGATATTTATGCTTAGTATTGCCATATACATTGCATAGTAATTACAAATGATAATTTTGTAGTGGAAAAATCTGGAAAATTCACCTTGAACAAATGTTCAAAGATAATATCTCCAATGTAGGGACAGACTGACACCATGCCTGACAGTGCCTTTTGATGTTATAAATTGAAGAAGATACAGTATCACTTAGGCAATTCTCTGCCAAAAATTCGGAGGAAATGCCAGACAAACTCAAATCAAGGGCCATTCTCTAGAACTGGCCATAAATGTATTCTTCAGCAGTGAGAAAGTAATGAGGAAAAAATGATGAGTCTGGGTGAAAGGCACAGTCATGCATTGCTAAACAACAGAGATACTTTCTGAGAAATGCATCATTAGGTGATTTTTGTCATTGTGGGAATATCATAGAATGTACTTACACAAACCTACATGGTACAGTTTACTGCAGACACAGGCTATATGATATAGTCTTATTGATCCTAGGCTACAAATCTGTACAGCATGTTGCTATATTGAATACTGTAGGCAGTTTTAGTACAATGGTAGGTATTTTGTATCTAAACATAGAAACGGTACAGCAAAAATATATACAAGATTTTTTTTTTAATGGTATACCTGAATAGCGTACTTGCCAGGTATGTGGCTTGCAAGACTGGAAGTTGCTCTGGGCAAATCAGGGGTGAGCAGATGTGAAGACCTAGGACATTACTGTATACTACTGTAGACTTTATAAGCACTGTGCTCTTAGGCTACACTAAATTTATAAAAAAATATTTTTAATCCTCATTTCCAAACAAAAAATATTCTTGATTCTTTTGTAATATTTTTTGTAATAACATTTAGCTTAAAAACATACATTGTATAGCTGTATAAAAATATTTTATTTATATCCTTGTTCTGTAAGCTTTTTCTCTTATTTTCTTCTTTTTTTTGAGTCTCACTCTGTCGCCAGGCTGGAGTGCAGTGGCACACTCATGGCCACCGCAGTCTCAACCTGCTGTGCTGAGGCGATACTTCCACCTCAGCCTTCCAAGTAGGTAGAACCACAGGCATGTGCTACCATACCTGGCTAATTTTTTTATTTACTGTAGAGACGAGGTCTCACCAAATTGGTCTCGAACCTCTGGACTCAGGCAATCCTCTTGCCTCTGCCTTCCAAAGTTCTGGATTACATGGTTGAACCACCCCCCCGGCCTTTTTAAAACTTTTTAACACAAACATTAGCCTAGGCCTAAATAAGGTCAGGACCATCAATATCACTGTCTTCCACCTCCACATCTTGTCCCACTGGAAAGTCTTCAGGGGCAATAACACTCATGGAGCTGTCATTTCTTATGATAACAATGCCTTCTTCTGGAATCTCTCCTAAAGGACCCACCTGAAGCTGTTTTATAGTTAACTTTTTTTTTTTTTTTGAGTTGGAATCTTACTCTGTCACCCAGGCTGGAATACAGTGGTGTGCTCACGGCCACCCCAGCATTGACCTGGGCTCCGGCAATCCTTCCACCTCAGCCTTCCAAGTAGCCAGAACTATGGGTACACGCTACCACACCCAGCTAATTATTTATTTATTTACTTATTGTAGAAACGAAGTGTCTCCAAGTTGCCCAGGCTGATCTCATACCCATGGGCTCAGGTAATCCTCTCACCTCAGCCTCCCAAAGTGCTGGGCTTATAGGTGTGAGCCACCAAACTCGGCCTACAGTTATCATTTTTTAATAGGAGTACATTCTAAAATAATGATAAAAAATATAGTAAATACATAAACTGACCGGGCTCATACTTGTAATCCCGGCACTTTGGGAGACTAAGGCAGGACAATTGTTTGAGGCCAAGATTTTGAGACCAGCCTGGACAATAAAGCAAGACCCTGTTTCTACAAAGAATAAAATAACTGGCAATGGTAACATGGTCCTGTGGTCTTAGCTACTCGGGAGGCCAAGGCAGGAGTATCACTTGAGCCCAGAAGTTGGAGTCTGCAGCAAACTGTGATTGTGCCATTGCATTCCAACCTGGGCAATAGAGCCGAGACCCTGTCTCTTCAAACAAACAAACAAACAATACAAAAGCCAGTAGTTTATTATCATTATCAAATATCATGTATTATACATAATTATATATGCTGTGCTTTTGTATAAAGGGCAATACAGTAGATTTGTTTACACCATCATTACCGAAGACACGAGGGGTGTGTTAAGACATCACTAGATAGCCGGGCTCTGTGGCTCAACCTGTAATCCCGCGCCTTTGGGAGGCTGAGGTGAGTGGATTGCCTGAGCCCGCGGGTTCGAGACCCGCC